ACTACAGCCATCTTTCCAGTCTACAGCTCTATGTCTGGCTACAGCCATCTTCACACAGTCTATAGCTCTATGTCTGACTACAGCCATGTTCCCAGTCTACAGTCTATATCTGACTACAGCCATCTTCCCACAGTCTATAGCTCTATGTCTCCCTACAGCCATCTTCCCACAGTCTACAGCTCTATGTCTGCCTACAGCCATCTTCCCAGTGTCTAGAGCTCTATGTCTGCCTACAGCCATCTTCCCACTTTCTACAGCTCTATGTCTGACAACAGCCATCTTCCCAGTGTCTAGAGCTCTATGTCTAACTACAGCCATCTTCCCAGTCTACAGCTCTATGTCTGCCTACAGCCATCTTCCCACAGTCTACAGCTCTAGTCTGACTACAGCCACCTTCCCACAGTCTATAGCTCTAGTCTGACTACAGCCATCTTCCCCCAGTCTACAGCTCTATGTCTGACTACAGCCATCTTCCCACAGTCTACACCTCTAAGTCTGACTACAGCCATCTTCCCAGTGTCTAGAGCTCTATATCTGATTACAACCATCTTCCCCCAGTCTACAGCTCTATGTCTGACTACAGCCATCTTCCCACAGTCTACACCTCTATGTCTGACTACAGCCATCTTCCCAGTGTCTAGAGCTCTATATCTGATTACAGCCATCTTCACACAGTCTACAGCTCTTGTCTGACTACATCCATCTTTCCACTGTCTACAGCTCTATGTCTGATTACAGACATCTTCCCACCGTCTACAGCTCTGGTGTCATCACCAAAGCACATGTACCACTACTTTTTCTTTTTTTTGCTCCATTTACTCTTGAAGTGGATTATTTTCACAAAATTAGGAGCAGGTAAATAGCTGATCATGCAATGACATCAGAGTTAAGTAATATGGCACTGAGAGTTCCACATCAACTGAACTATGCAAAGCACACATGGAAATTAAAATATTTTCTTGTTAAAATTTGAGTTTTTTAAGTTTACTGTTTTTGTGAGGTTGCTCAATCAAAGTCAAATGTAAAAGTCTGTTTTTGTCAAATATATACTGCCCTATGGTGTAGGATATCTCCTGTGTGGACACAGGACACATATTCTTGCTGTGACATCCCCTGTGAGGACACAGGCATGCATGTGTACTGTGACATCTCCCGTGAGGACACACATGCTTGCTGTGCTGCGTGCAGGACGCATGTGCTTACTGTGTGGCTGCAGTGTCCGTTCAGGTGCAGGCCACTGTCAAAGAGCGGGGAAGAGGCCCTGCTGCTGCAGTCACTGGCTGGCCCCGGTGACCCTGAAAGGGAAGAAAGGTGTTCATGCCACGTGACTCCGACATGTGTGTGACTTCAGGAGATCTAGGTATGGGATGCGCAGACCTCGCATTTCCAGTGCGTCTGAGAGCTGAGACTTAACCTGGCTTTAAGGGCTGGGCTGGTTTATTTCCATCCTGGCCATCCCCCCTCCCCACCCTGTCCTCACTCAATCAGAGGAAAGAAGGGACCTGGGGTCCAGCTTCTGGGGATGCCACTACCTACTACCACCGAGATGCCCTGTAGGGTGTGCTTGCATGGAGACCCCATGCAGCTCTGCAGAGTGTGATGGACATGTCCACTCTCAGAGACGTTGGCTGCCCTCTGCAGGCAAGTGGTGTAAGACATCGGAAATGCAGGCTCGGGAAGCAGGGCAGCACCCAGCACCCTCACTTAATATCCAGAGCCCTCCTTGTCCTGGTGTACTGCTCAATTATAAGAGGGTCACACTGACGTTCCATGGCCCAGCCACTCTGAGACCTCAGTGGTTCAGGTCCAGGGGCCATGGTTCTGAACTAACTCAAGGTATTCACAGGCTCAGACTAGTCACACCCACAATAATCCAGTACAGAGTCATCCTACAGGAGCCCATCTCCCCAGACACCCCACAGGAGACGTCCTCCCCAATGCCCACAGGAGCACCGACCTCTCCAATGCCCACAGGAGACGTCCTCCCCAATGCCCACAGGAGACGTCCTCCCCAATGCCCACAGGAGACGTCCTCCCCAATGCCCCACAGGAGACGTCCTCCCCAGTGCCCACAGGAGACGTCCTCCCCAATGCCCACAGGAGCACTGACCTCTCCAATGCCCACAGGAGACGTCCTCCCCAATGCCCACAGGAGACGTCCTCCCCAATGCCCACAGGAGACGTCCTCCCCA